CGAATTAATCGACTAGTCTTTTAGAATTAACAATATCAAACCCGAATGAATCATATTCAATTGAAAATCAATCGTAAATTGAAGTGTCACTCTCCAACAACATTCAACATTCAAGCATGATATTTGAAAATCATATTTGAAATCAACTCGCATAATTTGAATAATCATCAAACACAATAATCACAAACGAATTCAAAATATCATCCCCTATCCTAGCTAATCGGATTAGCTACTCATATGGAATTCAACAAAAACATTCACAACAATCCAAGCATTCATATCCATGGTTTAGATGAAAAAGAAAACTTACAATTGATAAAGAAATCGAGTGTTGAATCCAAAGTACAAGCTTAATCAGAAAAATAGAGACGAAATCAATGAAATCCAAGTGTAAGATTCAAGTTCTAGAGAGAAATATTCAAAAAAAACGAGTTTAGGGATATTATTTTAGGTCTGGGAACGAGTCCCAATTCCAAATACTCGAAAAAACGAACAACATCAAGTTTATAAAAATATGGTCGCGACCTCCGCGGCCGCGGGGAGCTCCGAGGCCGCGGGATTTCAGCTTCAGAGGTGCTCCGCGGCCGCGGGATTTCTCCCGAGGCCGTGGTGAAGAAAACTGGGCAGTTGCGCGCGACTTTAAGTTTCGGCCTCGTTTGAACTCGTCCGAACTCAGAATTGGGTGTCGTTTTTTTCTACGCGTCGCTAACGAACCCTTCTAGTCAATTATACATTCCCATCAAGTATATTCCTGGAATCCTAATCTCCCATAGCTTATGACCTTCACACCAAAAACGTGTTTCACGCGACTTTGCCTTTTGGGCTCGTTTGAGCTCGTCCGACCTCGGAATTGAGTTCCGCTTCTTCCTGTACGTCGCCAAGGACCCGTCTACACAATCATGATTGCCCGGCAAATTTTTGGGCTAAATCTATTCCTCATGGATATTCTAACCTGCACACCAAAAATGAAAGAAAACCAGAAAAACACACGAGAAACACAAGAAATACCAAAATAGAGCAAACCACAAAATAAACTACAAAACGAACTAAAAATCAACAAAAAGACCTAAAATGAAGAAAAAGAAAGATAAAATAAGCACATAAAATGCAACAAAAATGGGACAAACACATATCTATTACTGACTTTTAAAATTATAAAACATTTTATCAACATAAACTATAAATATATTTTAAAAGTTAATATATTTCATATCTATTATTAGTTTTTCATATATAATATATCAAATTGATTGTTTCATAACGAGCATTGATTTGACATCCTATATATAAGTATGTATATTTACCTTTATAATAGAAAATAAAATATATATCAATATTAATTAAAAAATTATAAAATTATTTATCAACTAAATAAATTTGTCTATTAAATTCAGCATATAATATGACTTGAAAAAAATATATATCAAGTGATAAATGTCATTTTACATATAGATAATAATTTAAGTTTGTAAGAATGATTTAAAACGTAATATAAAACTTCCATTTATGTATATACTCAGGTGTAATTAGGAGTAACTCATGTAAATCTTTATTCTATCCATTCCTATTAGGACTTTAAAATTATATAATACTTGACTACTTAAAAAATAAATATATTTCAAAGTTAGTAACTTTTATATTTGTTGTAGAATTTTTTTGTATAATATATCAACTAAATAATTTCAATTTTCTTTATTATAAAATTAAGCTATCTTTAATAACAATTAAAAATCAATAAAACCATATATCAATTAAATGACCTATGAATTTTTTACATATGAATTACAAAAACTATTCAAATAAAATCTCGTTTTACTCACAAAACTCATTTCTTCAAGATTATTGGAAAAGTAATGTTAAATAGTGGACTAAAAACGAGTTTGAATACATATATGCATTAAGAATTTGTAAATAGAAATCACAATCATCAACCACGAGAACGAAAAAATAAAACTCAATTTTCATTAGTAAATAAATAAATTTGTTATAAGAAATAGCGACTTAATTAACATTTATATGTTGTCATAGAACAAATATAACCGAATCACATAAAATCTATTTTGACTTGAAGAATCAAACACCCTCGATATTGACATCCCTAATACTCTAAAACATGTACTTAGTCTTTTCTCCCATAATAAGACGACTCAAAGTATAAAAAGTGCACCATCTAACACATTCACTTCGAGAAACTCAATTGCTAAGACATTACTTATTCTGTAAGGTATGCGAGGTAAAAGAGAGAATAAAGAAATTGTCTTTTCTTCTCTTAGTTTCTTTTTGCATGTATCCAACAATGCACATTTATAGTGCCCAGACATTAACTAATGTGAGTTTCTTAAATATATTCATATTGTAAGTTGTAACTTCACATTAAAATAACTAAAATGTAAAAGTTAATACAACAAACCTTACAATGATTTCATTTACAAAACAAAAACGTAAAGTGAAATGAATTAAACAAGTTCACTTGAAGTTTTGTAAAGTGAAAACAAGTTGAATTTGGTCATTCACATAAACTACATTCTTTTACCTAAGAATTCTAACCAAACATATTATTCTCTGTTCACATTTAATATATATTACAAAATCCCAATAAATCCTTACATAATAATTGTCAATGTCATCATAAATTGCTTTCATCAACGATACCATTTGGCTTGAAGCACCACCTAAGTTATCCATTTTTGGTGACCACCAAAATGAATGGGTCTAAGCCTTGAATTCATGTTGTGAGTGTAATCACGTTCATTAGTAACAACTTATAGGCTATTATATGAACTTTAGGGTTGACACATTCAGGCCATATGTCGCGATCCATTTTTATAAGTATTTTCAAGGAATAACCTCTCTCCTCTAGTGGCGGCAAAACAACTATACTCGTTTAATTGTGTGTCTCCACAGATGCACTGCATACATCATGTTTAGAAAACTCGACCTCATTCAGACATAAACTCTTCATATACTTGCAGTTAACAACACCTTCCAAGTACACTAAAGAAAGAATTCTAACTTCAGATATCAGTTGAAAAATATTTAGGTGTTCACTGATACATTCAACAACTTGCTTATATCACATTGAACATTCCTTGTGGGATCTCCACTCGAAAGGTTGAGTTGTTACTGCAGATGTACCTCTTATAGGTTACTCAGTCCCATCCCTAACCTGCATTGACTAAGGATAGATCAAATCCTTTAGTCAAAAGATCAATCAAGTTGTCATAAGAACTAGTACAATACCCGTGTATTACACGGGTGCTTGTTAAAAAATTATTCTTAAATTTTAAAATTAATGAGAAAATTATATTAAATTTAGTTTACTTTTTTACAAAAAAAAAAAAAGAAATATATATTACTATATATTTTAGAATGATATGTGTTACTTATGACTTAAATGTGTTATATTATATTAGTTTTTATAACTTATATCATATAACTACTTGAAATATAAATATATTAGTTGATAAAATAATTTTATTTTTTAATTAATATTAAAAATAATTTTATTATTATTATAAAGATAAATATAAATTATTTTTTTTATACATACAATATGGATGTTAAATCGAAGCTTATCAAAAAAAGATTAATTTGATATATTATATATGTAAAACTGATAAAAAATACAAAAGTTATTAACTTTTAAAATATATATACAATTCAATAGTTATAATAAGGAATAATATTAAAATACAATTAATACATGTAACATGACCATAAATAATCAACATATTTATGGTAATCCAAACCTAATTATTTTTAGTTTGGAATTAAATTAAAATTTACCCAAGCCTAATAACGAAGCATGTAATTTTGCCACATAGGATTCCGAAGCACCAGAAGCAGCCACGTAGGCTCAGCGCATTCTGTATTAATATATAGGGGGGATTAATAAAGTCAATGGCCAACCTTATCAGACACTAATTTCCTCTGTACTTTAGTCTAACTTAAATGTGTCTCTTTGTTTTCTGATTGAACTTTTAACTTCCTATTTTTGCAATTGTTGTTTAACTATCACAATGCACTAGTATTGGAGGTAAATGCTTACTTACAATGGGTAGTTGCATCAAGAACTCATACAACCATTATGCCCCTGTCTCTGTCTCAGTCGTGTCCCATGCACAACACTCAACCTCAAAAGTAGACCAAATTGCCAAAGTCTGTTTGGTAACTTCCAAGAGACAACAGCCCCACCCAAGATAAATTCATACTGTGTGCATCCATTAGTTTTAAATTTTTTATCTATCAAGCTAGCATCACTATATCCCTCAAGCACACCAGGGAACTTGCCATAGTTTATAGACAGTGATATTGTGTCTTTAAATACAAAAGTACCCTATCTAACAAACTCACCTCGATAAAAAAACTCAATTGTCAAGATCCTTACTTATTCATTAAGATGTGGGACATAAAAGAGAAAGTGTATAAATTGTATTTTCTTTTCTGGTGTCTTTTTGTATTGCACTTTTATAGAGCTCACTGGAAAAAAAGACATTAATTAACTAATGCGGGTTTATTAAATGACATTCATAATGTAACTTCGCGTTAAAACAAATTAATCTGTAAGTTAACACAAGAAATCGTACAATGAATTCATTTACAAAACAAAACAGTACAAGTGAAATGTATTTAAGAAGTTTAGTTAAAGTTTTGTAAAGTGAAAACAAAATGAATTTGGTCATTTCCAACAACCAATACGGAACTGTGCCCCTATGGTTCGACAGTAGGTGAATAAAATAGGCTAATGTCATAGTAACTTTTACAATGAATAATTAGTAACAAATTGTATGACTAGAAATTAATCTTGAATTTGGAACTCACTCATGGCGAACACATTCTTGGACTAGTAGTAAGGAATTTAAAACTTATTGTTCTTGCATATGCTAAGCGAATACTCGCGGTTGTATGTGCATGGTAGGACCCGAACATGAAAAATCGCGCATGGTATTTTGTGGACAACGGCTCCTACATGAGCTGCTTCCTTTCCAATACGAAGGTCTTTAGTGTTGAAGAACCTGTGAGCTTAGATCAAACTGAGGCACACTACTACATGGGCTACGATGGGGAGAGAAAGTTTCCGCTGTCGGATGGGAATTGGGTGGGGCCTGGAAGAACATGATCACCAGAGCTATGACACGAAGAATGACTTTCAGCAATCTAATGGGAGATGGTACAAGGAAGGAGATAAGAGGGAGGGCCCTGGACTGGGGCCTTGACGTGCCTAGTAATTAGTCAGAGCTATGGCATGAAGAATGGTTTTCTGGCCGTCCAACAGGAAATAGGATGAGGTAGGAGATAAATGGAAAAATTCAGAGGTTGAGTGGGGGCAGGAAGAACATAACAGCAGTAATCAGGCATCTGGTGCACCTGTGGGCAAAGCCCAGAAGACTTCTTCGAACAGAAGGATGTGCTGTGGGAGTAAACTTTGTCTGCTAATGCGGTTAAAATAGAAACTGAAATCGACTATGCAATTCTATGTCGTTCTAGAGTGTACTGTTTCTTGAACTTCTGCATGTATGTGTATATTCAGATTTATATATGTGTGCAGATTTGACTTCAAACATTTTCAAGGAGAAAACAATAGTGGGAAGCAAATGAGATAGAAGAAAGACACGGAGATGGTAAGTTGATCCTGCAAGTGATGGTGCATTCGGTTCTCGTTTACAAGACCTTTGTGTACAACTCAAAAGTATGCTGACAGTTGGTGACTCATAGCTGTTTTGTTTATACTGTAGTGAGTAGTATGTAAAGAGGGAAACTTAGCCAAGTCCGGCTGAGCCTGCACATGGTTCGTGCTGCAGATGAAATGGTTGCAGTGTTGGTTGAAAACCTTGGTTGAGAAGGCACTTTATCTGCTGCTGGATCTTTAGGTGATGAGCTGCCAATTGATTCTTCAGTTGGTCCCCTTGAAAGAGATGGTGGAGCACTAATAGCACCTGTCAAAACCAAGAATTAGAAATATTATGCTTTTGTGATTAGCTCAGGCATATAGTAGCAATACCACACCCCTGAGATTTAGTCCAACTACTAAAACCCTGGTTATAGTTTATGATCATAAACATTTATAATTATGAAAGATGACAGGGTTTCTTGGTGTTTTTTGGGAAGTCTAAACGGGTAGTGTTCGCAGGAATCGACTGGTTATTATTGTTGTCTTCATTATTTCACTTTATTAGTCGGTAATCCTGAAGGAGATATGAGTGAAAACTGTATTCCCGGCATAAAATGGAAGTCACAAAAATACAATTCTATAAATGCAGCTTAGCAGATTCTTACCAAAGTGTAGAGGTTCTGGGTTTTTCGGACCTGAATAATATATCCAATAGCAACAGTTAGAGACATCCAATTTTCAGCAAAATGAAAGAGAAAGCAAGAGAAAATAACTAGAAAAAGTCATAGGGTTGGGGACATCACCTGTTATGCTTCCAAGAGGAGGCAAAGCCACTGTCTCTGATCAATCAACAACCCAAAAGAAAAAGATGAAGAAAATTGAAGTGTAGAACTGTGTGAGTACACAAAGAAAGAAAGAAACAACAAGAAAAGTGAAATAGTCTATTTTATATAATCATCAATGCATAATTTCGTCGAAGTGACTATGAATTGACTAATAAGTGTAACCAGTTTCAAAGATAAGTCTCTGCATGAAATCTAAGCCCTATATACCAATGAGCATTTTAAGCACAAACATCTGCACTGTAAAGAATGTCAAAATCTGAATTTGTGAAATAAGCAATCAACACTATGAGCAGGACACTTAATCTCGAATCACATCGGCAAACTGAAGCTGGCAAAACGACAACCCCAGAGCAAGCCAACAATCATGAAATATAAGAAAACATTAATTCGAATTAAAAATAAAACAATTTCAAATCAATCTGTAAACAGTATCTTTGAATAAAGGGGGAAAAATTTTTTCCCGAATTCAATCTGAGAATAGAAAAGCAAAATCGAATCAAACAGTAATCGACACGCATTAACATAAGTGTACTCACTCGAACAGAGCTTTTTGAGAGAGAAACTCGCCGTAGAATTCCGATCCTTCAGTGGGCAAACAGACATGAGAGACATCAGCTTGGTGGAATTGAGGGGAAATCCGAGAAAATCAGGCCGTCGGACAATGTAGCAGAGGCAGACGGCGGAACCATCGCCGAAAGCGGCGGAAACTTCGTTGCAGCAAGACGGCGGTGGTGAGGTGGTGAGATTATTGGGGGCGACGGCAACGTAAGGGAGACACGTGGAGAATGTGACGAGCCTGTCGGAGCAGGCGGCGGTGGGCGTCTGAGCTGCGGCGGCGAATGCGGAGGTGAGGGTGAGCAAGAGGAAGAGGCGTAGAATCTGATTCATGGCGGTTATTGTGAATTTGTTGGGTGGACAATGGAATTTTGGCGTTTTGGAGATGGCGGGGAGTATGAATTTGCTCGAGTTTCCCCAAAATGCCCCTTTTGGTTTCTTGTCAAGCAGAATGGACTATTTTTTCTTCGTTAACAACTTTATTTTTTGCCTTCTCGCATTCCATTGTGAGTCTGTGACACATCGTTTACTCCCTGAATTTCTATCTGGCATTTGCAGATAATTGCTCTTCTTGTTTTCCCATAATTTTTTATTCTGCTCTTTTTACCACTAACTAATTGTGGCCCGTGCGATGCAGGATATATATTTTCTAAAACTTTTTTAATATTTAATAATAAAGTTAATAGACTTGTGTATATGTAACAAATGTAAACATGTCGGACAAATTAAAAAAATTCATAATTTATTGAATACTTCCTTGTAAACAAATATTTGTTTTGATTTGGTGGCGAGTCATCCTCACCACAAACTAATAATTTAAATAATTTTAGCATATGAATTCTAATAATAAATAAAAGACAGTCCCGCTCACCTGCCCACGGTGGACAGTGCGCACTAGTTGTTTTATATGAAAAACGTATTCTGAGAATACGTTTTTCAATTAAATTTAATTGAAAAACGTATTCTCAGAATACGTTTTTCATATAAAACAAACCAGTGGGCACTGCCCACCGTGGGCAGGGGAATATATTTAAAATAAAAGAACGACAAAAAAATATTTACCTCTTCACCATTGAAATTTATTTCAAACTACTTTGTTAACAATCAACCTGATTTATCGAGATTAAATTAAAGATTAATGATTATTATACAAGACCGCCGCCTAAACCTGCCTATGCCTTCAATTTAATTCAACTCGGTACAAGCTACACATCAAACCGACGTCAAGCATAACATATGAACTAACTTCAGTTCAAAGCGATAACCGACTTCACAAAGGTCCCACTGCAACCGATTTCTTGAAAACTCATTCCCGAAGGTTCGACCTGCCAACCGAGGTCCGACATGACCAAATTTCCAAGCAGGTGACAAAATAACTATATGATTGGATCACGTGCTGTATACACAATCATTGTTGCTCCCTCGTTGACCGGCAGACCGCCTCCAAAAGCTGCTACGCATTAAAATGCGCTATATCTACCTCGTACCAGAAGTCAAACACGTGTAACTATAAATAGCGGAATTTATTATTATAATGGGAGAGACACGCAACACATGTATACATAAAAAAATAAGCTCGGTTTCACACCTCTCGACTTCTTGTACACTGTAATTACTCAGAAATAACACAAAATCTCCACTTTTACGCTTTAATTACATCGTTTTATAGTTGTTAAATTCCATACAACAATAGTTTGGCGCTAGAGGAAGGGCCTCATAATTTATTTGAGGTTAGTCTTCGATTTCCTGCACACAAGCCGCATACCTCTCGCCAGGTTTACGTTCTTTTGCACAGACAATTGTCATGTCTAATACTGAGCACCGAGAACAAACATCAAGAGTTGGGCCTAGTCGTGGAGTCGCCTAGTCTGCTGGAAGAACAACCAAGCCGCCAACCACACCTGATTTTACAGCTCTGTTCCAAAATCTGGAGTTTGTGAAAGGTTTCTCTACTCTAATGGTACAAACCATTCCAGGGGCCTCTGCTTCTGCTCCTGGTCAACCAGTTACTCGACAATTCCGGCAAAGTTACCAACACCGCCGGCGGTAGAACGCCATGTGCATGCTGCTGTTGGGTTCTATAAGCAACGTCAACAACATGCACGTTTGAATTTGGCAAAATAAACCCTAACGCAGCGCATTCTATAGTTAGTGTTAGAACATTACCGTTTAAAATTTTTGTCGACTCAAAGATGTTTCTGATTTCTGTTGATGGAGATCGTCTGAACACCAGAGTCTGATGGTCTGCCAGAATTGGCCTATCTCGATCCTAGTGGAGTCGCTAAAACACGAACGGATCACCAGATCGGGCTCGTCAGGCTCGGGCCGGTTGTATCGGCTTCGGTTCATCGAGTTGACCCAGTCGGACCCAGGTTGACTCGGTTGGACTCGACTGGTCAGCTCACGCGGACTGGGCGTTGGACGCAGTCGCAGATGGATGCGACTAACTGGGGGGGCGCATCACGGACGGGCGCTGGGTGTCGCAGACGCGGGATGACAGGAATGCTTTCGGGTGCGTGAGGTCGAGGGTCTCCTATGCCGGCGAGAACTAGGCGTGGGCGTCTGGGATCACGAGGGCGAGCATCCTGGGTCTCCTGGTCGTGCGCGGACAAACGCACGCATGCTTCTCATGCTGGAAGCGGGGCGCGAAGAACACCGGTCGACGGCGTCGCGTGAGCATACAAGCGGGCGCGATGACGTCGGGCGGTGGCGCGCGAGAGCAGACAGACGGTGCTGGGAGCTCGCGGGATCTTCGTTGGGCGTCGCTGGGGACTGAGTGCCGGTGACTGGCTGCGGGCGCTTGCTCGCGACTGCGTGCTGGCAACTTCCGACGATCTCGAATATATATTACCCAAAAGTCTTCTAATGGATTACCTAAAGACCTACTTCAATTAATCTTGGTGGTGCAATTAATCAAATCTCTCGAATTCTTGAATATACGAAGAACACGATTTCGCTCTCTTTGAAAGATGGAAAAATCGAGCAACACACATGTAGGAGAAGAGGTAGGGACATAGTGTATTTATAGTCTCCATTAGGGACCTTAAGGAGGTGCTAAATTTGGACTCATCCCATTAGGTTTAGGAACCCTAATCTAGTCATGCTGCATATCCTATCCCATGTTGAAGTCCTATTCCTCCTAACCTTTATTACCTTCTAGAATGAATATTTCTCTCCTAATGAAATCTAAAATATGGAATATAATTAATTCCTAAATTCTTAATTAGAATTAAATTATAAAACATCCCACTAGAGTAATATTATTGTCCTCCCCTTTTAGCTCCAATTTATTCAATAAATTCGAACCTCTAAACAATTAATAAATATTAATCTAATTGATCGATTTATCTCCATATGCTTAAGATATAACGTCCTGTTGATAGCCGAGTTGGCCCCGATTGAACCGGATACTCAACCTCTCAGGACCGAGCTGAAAACGTGGTCTGGTGAAGAGGTGTCGAGCTGAACCGAGGATTAAAGATGTGCAGAACTGCTATAGGAACGTTCTCCCAGTCCGGCACCTGGCTCAGTCAGGACAAAAGCCAGCCTGGATGGGTGCCGGACAGAAAGAAGACTATTCGCAGTCTCGTGAACATTCTCGAGCGAGGTGTCGGCCTGAAAATCTGAGAAGGCCGACCAGAGGGAAAGCGCAGGTTTCGATGAGAATTAAAATATTCCCACTTGGGAGGCCATCATTGGACGATGGGACAAGTAATCATAGCCTAGCACCCTACCAGTAAGCCTAATCAATAAAGCCTACCAGCATTAAATGCCCCCCATGCTGGCATTTAATGCCTGACAGTAATGATTGAAGAAACCTCAAATCGCATTAAATACATGTCAGAGGGACGTCGGACTGCTCTTCAAGGCCACTGTGCGACAAGACCGGTGAACAGTAGCTGAATAGTGTCGCTTTAAAGACTACTATAAATAGCAGCTCATTTCATTTATTTTGGGTTGTTGAAATTCAACTAACTCTGCCTTCTTTCTTCTTTCTCTCTCAAAAACTGTAAGAAACTCACCGTAAGAATTGTAAGTATATCGCAAGTGCCGACCTCGTACGAGAGGCCGACTTCGTGATCGCCTAATAAAACCATAGTTAAACCGAATCATCCTTTCGTTTCCAATCTTTTACTTGCAACATTTATCATTTTAACCGTTGACCGAAAACGCTCGTCAACAGTTTGGCGCTAGAGGAAGGGGACCATAAGTTACTTGGTGTCAATTATTCGATCTTGTGAAGCCCCATATTCACTCACCTTCGTTTACCTCGAATCCCGTTCAAGATGACTTCATCCAATCACGACGAGTCAACCCAGCAGTCTGGCGCTCAGCCTCGCCGGCACAACGGCGAGGAGACCTCTCGCCACAACCAGCAAGGGACTCAAGCCCCTGTCCCTCCTGTCCCGACTTTTGCTGCTGCCATGCAGCATCCCGACGTCCTCAAAGCCCTGGAAGGAGTCTTCGCCAAGGCCCTCGCAAGCCAGGCACCCGGGGGGAACACTGTGGCAGCCACGGATAACCCCGTCAACACCCTGCTCCAGACCCCCGACAAGGAGGCCGGGGGGCAGTAGAAAAAACCCGCCACATCCAAGACGACAGCTCAATCACCCAATCGCACCGCCCAAGCCCGGCGCGAGAAAAACGTAAGGCCGGCGCCCACTGAGCAGACTGGCGAAAGCCAGCCAGACCGGAGCCTCCAGGTCATACGTCGCTCCGTGTACCAGCGCCTGGGTGACAAAAACCAGGCCAACCGCGACCTCAGGGACGTGATTGAGCGAGGCAAAAACATTGGGCGCGACGCGGACGAAGTCGCGGCCCTCAAGCGCAGAATTGCCGAACTAGAGGTCGACGCTCTCCCCGGGGAGGCACATCGCCTCTCCACGACTCACAACCCATCCCTCGGGTCGTGGATCATGCCTCCCCCCTCTCTCCTGACATCCTGCGCGAGCCCGTGCCCCAGAAAATCAAGGTGCCACATCTCGGACTTTATGATGGGAACTCGGACTCCGACTCCCACATCGGCCTTTACACTTCCTGGATGGATTTGCACGGCGCGACGGACGCCTTACGCTGTCGCATGTTCTCCCTGACCCTAGGACCGAAAGCACAGAGGTGGTACCATTCCTTGTATCCGCACTCTATCTGCACTTGCGGCCAGCTCAGGTCGGCGTTCCGATCACACTTCATCGGATCACAAATGAGCCTGGCCCCCAAGGAATCAATCGCCAACATCGTCCAGGGTGAGGACGGGAGCCTGAAGGACTATATCACCCGATTTAACGATCGAGTTCAAAATATGGAACAGTGCCATCCCGAGACCCTACTCGTCT